ACACCAAATTTATTTATTTTCTTATTCGAACCCCATCAAATACGGGATTTATAGAAAGGATTTTATTGAAACTCAATGTCATTATTCGAGGTTTTGGGATCCTGCCTTTGAAACTGGAAAGCCCACATGTTCGCCCATAAAAGAAGGGACATTTTTGCAATGAGGATTATATGATCCAGGTCGGCCTCGTATTTATTTCATGATTAATTTGGATACCTGGTGGTCTAGAGTGGTGAGGAGCAACGCAGTAGGAGGCAGGCACGACGGAGGGAGGATTGGTGGTTGTAAGTAAAACACAAGTGTTCTAAAGTGGTGGCTTTTCAGTTAACTCAAAAATTAGTTTTAAATTTTTTTGTCAAAATAAATAAATTAATGATTAGCACATGTGTCAATTTTAGTTAAAATCTGATGATGTGGTTGTCCCACCTTATTTGGGACTCGAATTTGGTGTATAAATTTGGTGCCCATAGCAGTATTCATATACAAGACCCTTGCTGAATCCATTATGCGCAAAATATCTTGAGATAAAAAATTACGCTGAGAATATGAAGGAAAAACCTAGTGATTAATTCAAGCTTCTACAATATACAGGTAACCCGTCTTTCATGCGGAGGTTTTATACTTGCATTGCGCCTAAATCACACAATGTGTGACGCAGCTGGGCTTTTCCAGTTCTTGAACGCCGTTGGGGAGATGGCACAAGGTGCACAAGCGCCATCTACTACCCCAGTGTGGGAGCGAGAGCTCTTGGGTGCTCGAGATCCACCACGAATTACTTGTCTGCATCATGAATATGAAGAAGGGATTGATGCTCAAGGCTCATTTCCAAGCACTAACAAGCCAAACATGGTCCAACGATCTTTCTATTTTGGGGCCAAGGAGATAAAGGCCATTCGGAATCATATTCCCCCACAATTATCAACCTGCACTACATTTGATTTGATAACAGCTTGTTTGTGGAAATGCCGCACACTCGCACTTAGAATGAATCCAAAACAAGTTGTTCGCCTTTCATGCGTAGTCAGTGGACGCGGTAAGCGCCACAATGTACGTCTTCCCTTGGGATATTATGGCAATGCATTTGCATTTCCTGCTGCAGTTTCAGAGGCTAAAGCTATATGTACAAATCCATTGGGATATGCTTTGGAGTTGGTAATGAAGGCAAAAGCTACAGTGAATGAAGAGTACATGAGATCAGTTGCAGATCTTATGGAAATAAGAGGACGACTACCAAAATATCCATTGACGGGAAACTTCATAGTTTCCGATACAACGCGTGCAGGTTTTGGAGAGGTCAGTTTTGGTTGGGGCAAGCCAGTATTTGGTGGACCTGCGAAGGCCTTGAATTTGATTAGCTTCTATGTTCAACACAAATGCAACAATGAGGAGGGGGTATTGGTACCAATATGCTTGCCATTATCGGAGATGGAGAGATTTCAGCAGGAGTTCGAGAGGATGACTGTGGAGACTGTGCAGACTACGGAGGATATATATGACACAAAATCAGCTAAGATCGTGTCAAGGATGTAACAGATTTTCTCAAATTTTAGATTTCTAGTGTGATGTCAATGGATTTCGGAATGTACCATATACATTAGATGCAAAGGCTTATGTGTGTGTATATGTATAGCCGCTTCTCTTTTATGTGCTATCTCATGTCGTGTTTTTGTGATTTTCGTGCGTATGTATGCTTGACTTTTTCTATGAGCTTTATTCCAACAAAAACTATTGGTGTTGTAGTTGCATGACCATTTTTGGAGTGAATTTAGCGAGATGAAACTTTCTCCACCGCTGGCCGCGCCGGCCGGCCGTCCCTCTCTCCGGTCAGCCGCGCCACTACCACTAGCAACCAGCAGGCTGAACGACGAAGGCCCTTCCCCCAACTTACTGCCATGGAAATCGATCACTGCCAAATTCCTAAAGACTTATTGGCTTATTGACCTTCGTATGAAGCCTATATTTCCATAGAGGATTCAGTTTATTCTTCAATACCATAAACCCCACCTCCTTTTAGATCCTCAATCTATTTCATTGAACCCTACATTGAGAGAGAGAGACAAGATCAACCATGGCAATTATTAGGTCTACCAGATGATGATTCTCAAGCCTCCTTTTAATGTTCAAGGTTGTGTTGAGAAATTGGTAAAGAGATATGAAAGATGGGGAAAAATGGAAGATGAGCCACAACCATGACAGGCCGTGGGGGTGGGGGGACTTGTCGGCGAGGAAGGGTTGGGGTTGCTATTTTTTTTCTTTAAGTTTTTATTTTATTTTTTTAAAGTTGAAAATGTAAAAATAAACTTTTAAATCCAGCTGGATAAAGTGATGGGCTTGACGGTGCTGAGAAAAGTGAAATACAAAACACCGGTGAGGTAGAGGACTCCAATCTTGGAGCCTTAAGGTGAAGGAGTCAAAATCAAGAGAAACAAAAGGTCTTTCCAGTAAAGGTGTTCATTCTTGAGAAATTAAGAAAATGTCATCAAGGGTAAAGATCTATTCCTTTTTTCCTTTTTTCATTTGTGTTCAAAGAGACTAGGCTAAGATACTTAGTTTAAAATGAAAAAAGTTTACCTCAACTAGTATAAACAAATGAATCCGTCATTTAGAATGTTTTTGTTGTATAGGTTGTGGGTAAAGTTCATTTCCTAAGTACTAGATGCATGTTTCCTTCAATAAGCGTTGTTAGCCAATTTATGCATTCACACCTAGGGAGGATCATATAGCTGTTGTGATGTGTATTATAAGTTACTTAAAGTCTGCTCCTGGGAGAGGTTTATTATTTAAGGAAAATGACCACTTGGATCTAGAAGGTTACACTGACGCAAATTATGCAGGGAATATTACGGACAAACGTTCTACATCAGGTTACTTCACCTTTGTTCATGGTAACCTAGTTACGTGGCATAGCAAGAAGCAAAACATTGTGTCTCGGTCCTCTGTAGAGTCTGAGTACAAAGGGATTGCCCAAGGGGTTTGTGAAATACTGTGGTTGAGGTGGTTACTTATTGAAATTGGGTTTAGACTGGATGCTGCTACAAAGCTCCACTGTGATAGTTAATCTGCATTTGAAATTGCTAACAATCCGGTGCAGCATGATCGAACTAAGCATGTAGAAGTTGATCGGCATTTCATTAAGGAGAAGTTGAAGCATAAGTTAATTTCTATACTTTTATGCCTTCTTCAGAGCAGCTTGCAGATATGTTGACACATATCGTGTCAAGCGTCGATTTGAAGACTCACTTGCCAAGTTGGGCATTAACATATCTATGCACCAACTTAAGGGGGAGTGTTGGCATGAGTTAAAGTCAACATTCCTATTAGGAATAGATTTTATATTTTATTGTAATTATCTAATTTGAGTAGAATTAGGAGATTTTGTACATATTTCCTATTTGTACCCATTCTGTATATAGTATATATATTCCTCCTTGAGAGAAGAATAAACATATCAGTTCAAACCCTAATTAATTTTGAGTGATTCATGAATGGGAATAATTATTCACTCAAGCCCACCATGTCAAGACAAGAACGAACAACCTTTTACATGCGTGGTCCTCCTCATGTTTTGTATATGTTGTACCTGTTGCTAATTGAACTGTGAAGTGTTCATCTTATCCACATATATGTTAACAAATATGAGGACGACATACACCCAAAATTTTTGAACCGTCAGTAATAATCGAAGCTTATAATATAAACCAAGGATTTGTAGTGTTGGACCTGATATATTTGATGTTGGACCTGATATATTTGATGTAAAATATAGGCTTAAATGTCAAAATGGTATGTGTGTATCATTTTCTTTTGGTCGGTCAATTTTTTTTCCCTCCCCCGCTTTTTTTTTTTTTTTTTTTTTTTTTTTTTTTTTTTTTTTTTATTTTCACTGTGTTTAAAAATAATTTGTTTAAAAATGTTTGTACAATCCGTTAAATAAACATTAATCCTTTATTTTATTTTTATTTTTGTCTTTTAAAAACCTAAAAACTTTTATTAAAATTAATAAAAAAAATTTGAATTAAACTTACTCTTAATTTTGTGTTGATTGATAGAGCCCTTCTATAACTACAAATGGTTTAAAAAGATTACATAATTTTAACTTCAAAAGACGAACTTAACATTGTTTCTCTTTGACAAATTGGAAGCGTTAGCACAGATCTATTTCTGGTTGCCAATGATAGAACATGATCCAACGGCCTTGAAGCCTTGAGGTGTGGCTGGAAGGTGGAGGTTGACAGGGTGGTGGATGGTTGTCGGAGAGAGAGAGAATACAGAGTGGTGGTGGCTGGGATTGGATGGTGTTGTCTTTTTTTATATATTTTTTGGATCTCATTTTTATTTATGTAGTTCTTATTTATTTATTTATAAAATTGAATTCAATTATTTATATTAGTTTTTAAAAGTTTTTTAACAGTAGATTAATGGATTGGACTACATTGCCTAACGGTTCTAAACACAATGACTAAATTGACAAACACTATAAAACACAAGGACCATCTTAACATTTAAGTCTAAAATATATCGAATTCATTATAACCGTTAATAAAGAGCATAAGAAGGTTTAGAACACCCAACTTTTAATGCTTTTGAGAAGAAAATTGATTTTGGATTTTTTTGAATATAAATGATAGTTTAGTACAAGGGAAACAATGTTACAAGGGCATGAAATTGTCTTTAAAATTTTAAAGATAAGGTGGGTAGAGAAATAGCAGCACTTAATGAGAAACGTGAATCATTCAGAACGCATCAAAAATGGCCACCATGTCATAACAAGAAAGAACAAACCTTTTCCATGCGTGGTCCTTATGCTTTATATCTGTGGCACCGTGTATCAATTTGACTTGATTGTGTGAAATGAAAAAGAAATTTGGCAATAGTCACAAAAGCTCAAACACGTCTATAAATATATACCTGTCTATCATAAGTATAGTACTTGTGCTTTTATTTTAAAGTGTTCAAAATTTTCTTTTATAGTACTGTTTTCAAGCCCACTCACTTGTGCAATGATTTCCCCATGCGCCTTCGTATTTCAGGTGAACCGTTTGAAGCCAGAACTTATAAAACTGGCTAAGCCAACACCTCAAGAAACGAAGCTACTGTCAAATGTTAATGACCAGGAAAGCCTTAGGTTTCATATTCCAGTCATAATGTCTTACAGGAACAATAATCCTTCCTCAATGAATGCAAATTGTGATCCGGTTAAGGTGATTAGGGAAGGACTAAGTAGGGCATTAGTGTATTACTACCCTATGGCTGGTAGGCTCAGGGAAGGGCCTAACAGAAAGCTTATGGTGGAGTGCAATGGAGAAGGTGTCTTGTTCATAGAGGGTAATGCTGACGTCACTCTTGCGCAACTCAGGGACACGATTGCACTCCCTTCTCCATTCTTAGAGGAGTTTCTTTATAATGTTCCAGGCTCTGAAGGGATTCTTGGTTGCGCTCTGTTGTTGATTCAGGTGAGTATTTGTTAGCTAACTGCATGTTAATTAATATTTGTTTTTGAATTTCTTGGTAGATCTTGGCCCTTCAATACAATGAAAGTTTCTGATTGCTAGAATTTACTTCCATGGAATCTTTGCCTCTTTATGGATTTGAAGTAGGTGCTAAGATATGAATATGGTTTGAATACTTTGGATTGTACTTATTTATTCTTCTCCATAAGGAGATATATATAGGAGTTTACATATGAGGGTTTTACACTAGTAAAAAAAACCCCTTGCACGATGAAACTCAAAACTTCGTCGCTCAAAGTCTTGCACACCAAATTTTGCGCGACGAAAAACAATTCGTCACGCAAAGTGACTTTGCGCGACAAACTTTTGCGCGACTACATACATGGTCACTCAAAGTCTTGCGCGACGAAAAATATGTCGTCGTGTAAAGTCACTTTGCGCGACAAACTTTTGCGCGAAAACAATACATTGTTGCTAAACGTGACTTTGCGCGACGAAAGAATAAACTTCGTCGCGCAAAGTCCTTATAAAAATAAAAAAAATAAAAAAAATATTTTTAAAATCTTTGCATGACGTAATCCAATCATTTCGTCGCCTAAACCAATTTATTTTTGTTTTTTATTTTGTATGCATAACACTTAAGAAATTAAACGGTATATATATTTATTAAGTAGCTTTAAATTTATTATTTGATATCAGATCAGATTTTTGTTAGAAAAATATATTATTGTTGTCCAGATTGGGTTTTTGTTAGAAAATATATTTTTTAAATTGACGATCGAATTAGTTCATTGTATTCATATAGGGTCAATGAGTGTAGCTGTAAAAAATCATCAAAATCGGAGTTAAAATAACCGTTTAAATCGTGATTTTTCATTTATTACCGTCGAAAAGTTTTGTCTCATTACTTAATCTCTGAATATTTATTTTTTCAATTTTTGGCGTATATGATCTCGAAGTATAAACAAACAAGTTTGATGGTTGGATCGTTGAAACTAGTTTTGTTGAATGCATATGCCATCAAAACAATATATTCACTAACAATTAAGAGTTTATTTATACTTTCGTTAAATATAAAATAAGATTTTGTGGTATCCACTGGTGTAAATATTTTAAATTGAAGATCAAATTCAGTCATTGTATTCATATAGGGTCAAGGAGTGTAACTGTAAAAAATCATCAAAATCGGAGTTAAATAACCGTTAAATCATGATTTTTCATTTATAACCGTCAAAAAGTTTTGTCCCGTTACTTGATCTCTAAATGTTTATTTTATCTAATTTTTGGCGTATATGATCTCGATGTATAGACAAACAAGTTTGACGGTTGGATCGTTGAAACTAGTTTTAGAGAATGCGTATGCCATCAAAACAATATATTCACTAACAATTAAGAGTTTATTTATACTTTCGTTAAATATAACATAAGATTTTGTGGTATCCGCTAGTGTAAATGTTTTAAATTGAAGATCAAATTCAATCATTGTATTCATATTGGGGTCAATGAGTGTAGCTGTAAAAAAATCATCAGAATCAGAGTTAAAATAACCGTTAAATCGTGATTTTTCATTTATAACCATTGAAAAGTTTTGTACCTTTACTAGATATCTGAATGTTTGTTTTTTGCGATTTTTGGGGTATACGATCTTGAAGTATATAGAAACAAGTCCGACGGTTGGATCGTTGAATGGTGTGTGTATATATATATTTATTTATTAAGTAGCTTTAATATATTTATTTTGTACGTATAACACTTAAGAAATTGAATAGTATATATATTTATTAAGTAGCTTTAACCTTATTTATATTTTAAATCGTAAATAAAATTATTTTATTTTTATTATTCATAACAATTATTTTTATAAATATTGTGCTACGAACTAATTTTTCGTCTCTCAAAAGTTTGTGCGACCAACAGTTCGTCGCGCAAAACTCTAAAAATTTGGGAAGGTACCAAAAATGGGGCACGAGATTTAAAAATAATAATAAATTTAGACTTTGCGCGACCATATTTTTTGTCGCTCAAAACTTTACGCGACCAATATATATTTTTAATTGCGCAAAATTTGGGCGGGTACCAAAATGGGACGCGGGATATTTTTATATATTTTTTTAGACTTTGCGCAACCAATATGTATTTTTTGTCGCGCAAAAATTTAAAATTTTGGGCTGGTACCAAAAATGTGGCGTGGGAATTTTTTATTTATTTATTAATTTTTTTAGACTTTGCGCGACCATATTCCTATATTCGTCGCGCAAAACTTTGCACGACCAATATTCCAATATTTTCGTCACTCAAAACTTTGCGCGACCAACAATATTTTTCATCGTGCAAAGTGATACGGTTTTAAAACCAAATAACTCATCCACCATTTTCTCAATGTCTTTCTCTACTCTTACCTCTCCTCTCTCTTACCCTCTCCTCAAATCCCACCCTTTCTCTCACACTCACTCCTCTCACTTAATATTTCATCTCTCTCTTCACTATCTCTCACTCTCACTCACTCTCTCATCTCTCTATCATTATCTTCTCTAATTCTCTCACACTCACTTCTCCCTCTCATTCTCACTCACTCTCAATCTTGCCAAAATGTATATTATCTCCAATTTTAATTTTTTTCATTAATACGTGTTTTTGGAGTTAGTTTTGAGTTTGTGCGGGGTTTGGGTTGAGTAAAGGGGAGGGATTGGGAGTTTGGGTTGGATTTGTGGTATAACAATTTTAGGGGAGATTATGCCTTCTTCTTTTTTTCTTTTTATTTTTTTATTTGACCATATTTATTTTTTTGTAGGGAATTATCAAGACTTTGACGGCTAAAATTGAGGATTAGGAAGCTATCAAAACATATCCTCCGCCACTACCACCACAATACGCTTGTATTAGGATGTTATTATTGTACTTTGTTAATTTATGTGTACATTTTTAATATTATATATATTTATTTGATAATTTGATCACTATTTTTCATATGTATTTTTTTTTGAATATGTCAATTTAATTAAAGTAATAAAAACAATCAAACAATTAATTTTAATTTAAAAAGTAAAAATTAGATAAAAAATCATATAATTAAATTCATATCATTTTAAATTAAAGTAATTAAAAAATCATGCAATTAAATTAAATTTAAAAAATAAATTTGAAAAAATTATATTAAAGAAATAATAAAACAAAAAGTCAAAACCTTCGCGACAAAACATTTCGTCGCACAAACTATTAAATTAGTTTATCTATATTTTAAATTGATTTAATTTAAATTCAAACACAAAAATATTTAGCGTTGGGCTCAAAACTCTAAAAATTGGGTGGGTATCCTGAAAAATGGATGCGGAATTTTTTTTTGTGATAAATTATTTTTTTATCAGACTTTGGCGCCGCTAATTTTTCCGTTGCGCAAACAATTTGCGAACCAATATTTGTTCGATGGCGCAAATTTTTATGCGACCAATATTTTTTACGTTGGCAAAACTTTTAACGAGACCAATATTTTTTCACGCACAAGTCACTTTGCTAGACACTGAAAAAACTTGGTTAGCGCAAAGTCTTTCTCTCACCGTTTTTTTGGGCACACGTATTCCTGGTGTCGGCGGACAGACCGAATTTTCTGTCGGGCTAAAATTTGTGGCGACTACAATATATTTTCGCGACGTAATCCTCTTCGTGCACGGGTCAAAATGTAAAGGTAGTAGGTTCGCAAGGAATTAGGATAGTATCTCCTAATTCTACAATTATTTATCAGCTTATAAAAAAATAGGAAGTAAATCCCTTAATTTCAAGGAATAAATGGTCCTTGATTAATTAGGAGCCTCACTTCAACGACTCCTCGGCTTCAAGTATGGTGGCTTATGATGTCACAGAACTGCGCCAACTTGAAAGTAAGTCGATGAAATACTTCTTCGCACATCTCACGATGTGCAATATCTATCCTGGAGACGTATGCAGAGTAGAACTCTTTGGTGGTGTGATAAAAGAAGGAGTTTTGGGTATGTCAGGTCAGCAGGATTGACCGGCATGCGTTCTGTGAGTTGCAACAAGTATGGCGAAGCGTATCGGTTCTTGACATCACACTGCAGAAGTAAAAATGTGATATGGAAGGGGGGGGGGGGGGGGGGGGGGGGGGGAGGGGTGGAAAGGTGATGTGAGAAATGATGGTATGATTTGATGTAGGAATTGGATTAAGAGGTATGTGGTATTAAGATTTGATGGTATGGTTTAGGGATTTGGATAAGAGGTTGGAGGAACTTTAGACTTGAGGGATTTGGATTTGGAAAAAAAAAAAAAAAAAGAGAGGAATTTGATTAGGGTTTGATTGAATATGAGAAAGTTGAAGAAATTTGAGATAAGGTTTAGAGACAAACAGACTTCTCTTCACACTCGGGGGGGGAAGTCGTCAAAGTAAGAGAGATATGCTATCTTCATGGGAATACATCAAGGTACTGGGATATCGTCAATAATATATCATTTTCATTCCCCCCTCCCTCTTTGAAGAGGGGGCGGAGAGCACTAAATTTTTGCACAGAGAGAAGCACAGCACAGGTCAGTCAAAGTAGGTGGGGTGGGGGGAACCTGTCACTGATACCATGGCTAAGATATGAATATGGTTTGAATACTTGGGTTGAGGCTTTATTCTTTTCACATAAGGAGTATATATAAGAGTTTATCATTCAATTATCACTATTTCTAAGGCCTAGGATTCGTGAGTCCACCTTGGTGGATTTGATCTTAGAGCTAAATCAAGTAAGTAATATTGCAAATATATTACAAAGAGATTCTTACACTCCCCCTCAGGTTGAGAAGAATGTTATGAAAGTCCAACTGTGTCACGTGAGTGTCAGGCAATTGATTCTTATCCCTCAAATGTTTTGTGAATACATCTGCCAATTGGGATATCGTTTTGGTACATATACAGGACTAATCATTCAGGCTTGCAGTTTTTCCTCGAAGCTATGTGCAATCTATTTAATTTGTTTTCCGAAGCGGGCTCATGGAAAACCTGGATTTGCTGCAATTATGTCAAAGCTGCGCTGATTATCACAAGTAAGGCAAGATGTTCGAGCTCTTTGTGGGACGTTTAATCTGTAATATTATAAGTCGCTAGGGGGCCAAGTGAGTCTCCAAACTTGTGTTAGCCATACTCATATTCGGCTTCTGTGCTGAATATTGATCTTGAACACATGGTTTCTGATTTCTTAGACATTTATGAGTGAGAGAGTTCTGCCAGAGAATAGGCCCAAAAATACTAGTAACTGACTTCTTCTAGTGGCAGCGACAACCCTTAAAAAAAAAACCAATCTGAATCACAAGGCAAGCAGGAAAAACAACCTTGACCAGGAGTACCTTTGATGTATTTAAAGGATCCGTAAAGCAGCATCCCCAATGGGTTTTGGCGAGGATGATGACACTCACTGGTTGATTATCTTCTGTACTAGTTGGATGCATTAGTCAACGCTGCGGCATCTTTGGGAGTAGCTCAATTTGGTCTATAGGAAATTTGTCTGGTACGTGCAGCCTAATAAGTCCTGAGTCTGTAAAATATCTAATGCATATTTCTCTGGACAGAAAATAACCTTTCTTGGAAGCGGAGAACTCAATGCCCTAAAATATTTCAAGATCTCGCAAGGTCTTTGATACGGAAGCATTTGGAGAAGAAAATTTCTTGAGACGTTCCATTTCTTGACAGATCATTTCCTGTGATATAAAGTTGTCGTCAACATAGATAAGTACTGGTATTAACTGAATTACCTTCGGCCTTGTAAATATGAATAATTCAAGCCTTTGATTTGGATAAGAACCAGCCTTTTTGTACAATTATCTGAAAAGGTAGAAAAGTCGAGTTCTAGATGGCGCTGTTTGAGTCCATAGAGGGATTTATTGCGCCGCAAAAAAAAAAAAAAAAAAAAAAAAAAAAATACAGTTTTCTTCTCCTTGTCGGGCGAAGACGCAGGAGGAGGCTCCTTATGTAAACGCACTTCTGTAAAATCTCGCATGAAGGAAAGCCTCTGGACGTCCCTACTGGTGGTGAACGGCAATTACGGGCAGCACGCAAAGTAATGAGACCTCGAGCTAGTGTGATTTGCTGTGGGGGAAAAGTCTCTTGTAATCATCCGTGGCTGGCACCGTGAGTGTAGCCCTTAAAGGCACGTAGCGAGTCTTTGTATTCGTTCGAATGGTGGGCCATAGACTGTATTTGATTTGTAGACATTTGCATCATCGGTTTTATGACGCCACGGGTTAAAGGGACCAGACTTCCCAGGGTTATTCTGTTGCAAGGTCTCCATCTAATTCTGTTGTCATGCATGGCATGTCCGCCAATTTGGATCATGGATAAGCTTGTGCAATGGGGGGGAGGTGGGCTCATGATAGCGCTGTCAGTTAGGGGTCTAAAACAGCACAATGGGTGGCTATGAAGAAAAGCGAGAGTGAAGAAAGACAAATAGAAAGGTGATATCGAGTGACCCTGAAGAACGAGGCGTTGAGGCTAGAATATTGAGGCTTGGTTTAGCATGTGGTATCGCTCTTGCCATGTCGGTAGGTTTTTGGGCCTGAAGGGACTGACGGGCAGAGGTGGTATACCGATTGTGTGATTGAAGTGTGGGCTCAGGAAGAGGATGAATGGAGAGAGTTGGGTTGACTCTGAGTGTGAGGGACATTGCATGAGGGGTGGCGGAGGTAAAGGTGGATGGGGAGGTAGCACGGTGAATCATGCATAGGGGTGGTTAACATGAATATGTTGGGATTATTTGGTAAGGTATGGGTGGTGGAATTATTGGTAAGGTAGGTAGGATATAGGTTATGTGGTGCTTGGAGTAACGGGTTGGCAGGTGGGGTACAGGTTACTGGTGGCGGTCCACACGTGGTCGTGTGTGTCAGGGGCACATGGGGGTTTAAGTCTATGTGACTGCTCTGTTGAACATGGCAGTGGGTTGGTGATTAATTTAGTATGAAGGGGATGTGAGGATGTGCCCATTGTCAGTGATGTTAGGAAATATGAGGGGGAACACAAAATTGGGATTGGGTGGTGTATAAATAGATGAGGAAAGGGAAAATGGTTTCTCTTTCCAGGCAAAAATTTGACATCAGGACCGCCTTTTTACGAAAAACTTGTGGGTCTCCAATCATAAAGTTGTAAGTCTCGCCTTTTTGACCATGGGGTATCCAACAAAATGCTGGCGTTTAGTGGCAACGGGATCCAAATTTTTGAGTAAAAAAAAAAAAAAAAAAGATGAACTAACGTTGGCATTAACATAAACAACCAATACTTTCAGTGATGCAAAGGTATGGTGCCGAAGATATACAAACTCAAAGGGTGACTTGGTGGATCAAAAGGTGGGTGTGTATGGTACGGCGGTTAATTAGGTAGACAGTCGGGTTAGAGGCAATAGCGCCAGCTAGGCAGAAAGAAAGAGGTAAGTGAGCTTGGAACAATAAGGCTCGTGCTACGTAGAGAATATTCCGTGTTTCGTTCGGCAACTCGCTTTTGTTGTGGAGTGTAAAACATGTTGGGCGTTTATCTTCACTTCCATTAGTTTGAAAAAAATCTGCTCAGGCAAACACACTCAGAACCGCATTTCGACTAGGATGGCTTTAATGTGGAAGCAAAATTGAGTATTGAGCTAAAACAACAAAAGATTTTAAAAGATGTTTAGTTTGCAGACTTATGCATGCATCAAAAATACCCGATGTGGCATCTTGTGAAATCATCCCCATGGTAAGGGAAAAACGTGGCCCCTGAAATGGGGGAAACTTTGTGTGGACCTCCAACATACTTCACAATGTAACAAATCGAATGGAGGCATGTGTTGATAGAGAACTTAAGGAAATGGAAGGGATCGTGTTTGTTGTGGCGCACTGGGAGGCAAATATTTTATTTATCACAAAAGAAATACTTTTGAAGTCAGGAATGGATCACCGAATTTGAGACGAGAAGTTACTAAGATGACTCTAAGTCGTAGGCATATGCCAACAGCAAAAAAAAAAAAACAAAAAAAACAAATTGTGGGGTGTGAAACATTGATGTTGAGATGGGTGTGCTCTGTGCTTGCTTACTCTCTATATGGAGACATGTAGAGAGACCACCTAACGTTGTTTACCCGCGGCTCTTAATTATGCGATCTTCCCCGTAGCCAAGTCTGGCAAGCACAGCAAAAGTGGGCATACAAAAGGCCACAACAGTTTAAAGTAATTAGTGACATTTACTGACAGATCCTGAGATTACGCGAAAGTAGAACACATAAAACTTTGTCTAAGGTGATGTCTGAGTGGAAGTTAGACGGTGCCGAGTGGAAGTGATTGGGACTGTGGATTCCAGTGGGTAAATTAAGCAATGGGCTGGGCAAGATTCGTCTTAGTGAAAGAAGTGTAGAATCAGAATTGATGTGGTCAGTGGCGCCGCTTAGCGTCGAAAATCCAAGGATTTAGTTAAGGCAGAATTAATTGCGACACTATGTAGCAAGATGACTAACCAGAAGCATTTGCATCAGAATTGTTATTACCCAATGACACGGTTTGCATTCAATTATAGGATATGGCAGAGGCAGTGTTGTTGAAGGCTCCTTTGCTGAGACGCGCTCATTGTGGGATTTGGTTGTGAATACCGTGAATTGAGACGGGCCGGCGCATGATAGCTTTGAGACTTTTTGACCCGAATTGGAAATCTGGGGCTGGATTCATGTATAGAACTTTGTCTGCTTGGCAGTAATGTAAGAAGGTCAATAGAGAGCACCATTGCGCGCTTGTGGTTGCGCGCTGAAGCTTAGCTTTGGCTGGTAGATGCATCTGATGATTAATTCCAATATGCATTTGATGCCGTGGAATTTTTTGAGATTTAGGTTTTTGTCTTTTCGGGAAGTGGTTTGATTTGAGATGGTGTTTGAAATTGAATTTTTTGTGTTTCCTTTTCTGGCAACAGAAAATTTGTTTTGATTTGTATATGTGTTTTGACGAAAAGAGTAATCAGGGCAGGCAGGAATGGTGTCTGATACCATCTTAAGAAACGTCAGACTAAGGAAGATAAAAGGACGAATTTGACTAGGTTTTGAATATAGCACAATTGGTTGAGATGTTTTCTAGAATTATTCTGATTTGATATGTCAATTCACATATCAAGGTATATATACAAATACCACATTCAATTACACCTATTTCTAAGGCTAGGAATTCGTGATCCACCTTTGGTGGGATTTGATCTAGACAAATCAAGTAAGTAAAATATTACAATACATTACAAAGATATTCTTAACATAATGTCGTACAAGAACAATCCTTCAATGAAAGGAAACGATTGCCGTTGAGTGATCAGGAAGCATTGAGTCGGGCACTCGTGTATTACACCCTTTGCTGGCAGGCTCAGGGAAGGACCTAACAGAGCTTATGGTGGAGTGCAATGGAAGGTGTCTTGTTCATAGAGGGTAATGCTGACATCACGCTTGCGCAAACTGGGGGGACACGATTGCCCCTCCTTCTCCATTCTTAGAGAGTTTCTTATATATTTGTTCCAGGCTCTGATTGGATTCTGGTTGCCCCTCTGTTGCTGATTCAGGTGAGTATTTGTTATTTAACTCATGTTAATTAATATATGTTTTGAATTTCTTGGTGGATCTTGGCCCTTCTATAAATGAAAGTTTCTTGTATGTCCTTGGCCCTTCTATATCGATGAAAGTTTCTAGAGGTGGCTATTAAATAAGACCAAAAATTGTAGAATGTCTGTTTTCTAGAGGTGGCATCCTTAAAATGGACACATGATTGTCTAGCCCTTCCTTGGAAAAATTGTACAAAATAATTATTGATGAGAAAATCCCGGGTTGAAACGATACTTTTTTCTCTTGCAGGCAAGTTTTTTTTTTTTTTTTTTTTTTTTTTTTTTTTTTTTTTTTTTTTTTTTTTTTTTTTTTTTTTTTTTTTTTTTTTTTTTTTTTTTTTTTTTTTTTTTTTTTTTTTTTTTTTTTTTTTTTTTTTTTTTTTTTTTTTTTTTTTTTTTTTTTTTTTTTTTTTTTTTTTTTTTTTTTTTTTTTTTTTTTTTTTTTTTTTTTTTTTTTTTTTTTTTTTTTTTTTTTTTTTTTTTTTTTTTTTTTTTTTTTTTTTTTTTTTTTTTTTTTTTTTTTTTTTTTTTTTTTTTTTTTTTTTTTTTTTTTTTTTTTTTTTTTTTTTTTTTTTTTTTTTTTTTTTTTTTTTTTTTTTTTTTTTTTTTTTTTTTTTTTTTTTTTTTTTTTTTTTTTTTTTTTTTTATTCCTCGTGTTCTTTGTAAAATCATGCTTAAATTTTGAATCTTAAATTAATAATCTAAAATTTCTTACTATTGTATCATTTTCTTTCTTTTGCTCTTCATATTTTTCCTGCAAAAAAAGAAAGTGTTGTTTTGCTATTTATAATCATAATATATGCTAAAATTCTTGACCAAGGTAAAATCTGGAGGTGTATATAAAAATCCTCCTTGTGGGTCTACATGATCGAAGTTTAATATATTTCCTGCTAAACTAATTTGTTCAATTCCTTTAAAGGATTCTATTTTTTCTTAGTCCAATTGTTTCTTATTGAAAAACATTCCTACCGGCTTCTTCATTATTTTCTCTATAGGTTCATTAGTTTGCCTAAGATTTTGCTGGTTATTCTACTTGCATTAACTACAAATAGTTCAGTTGAACTATATTGGTCTTCTATTGGCATGCATTCTACTTCCATTAACATATTTTGATATTTTTTTTCTCCTAAAATGTGTTCTAAGCCTATATTTAAAATTATGTCCTTCATTTCTTTATTTGACAATCTATGTAATCCTAAATCATAAGTCTTATATTTTTCTATATATTGTTCTTCATTTAAATTATCTATGTCATCTATGAGTTTATCAACTATATTATCAAAATTATGCTCAATCATATTTATTTCTAAGTTATCAAATGACATGTGTATTTCTTCTACTTCACTTTCTAAGTCTTCTATATCCTTTATTTGTTTATAATTAGTAAATCTTACTATTGCTTCACCTATACGATTTTAAAAAATTTATGCTTTATTAGGTTGTCTAATTGTTTGCTACTTGTAAATTGGGTAAAATCCATTATATTCCTTCTAAAAAGCTATTATCTACCAGTTTTTGCCTCTATCATATTAACATGTTTACTACCAAAAGTTTGTACTAGAATTTAAAATTTTACATAAATTTATAATTATAGTTGTCTGAAATTTTTCCTACATATAAGACTAATACTTACATTTTTGTATTCACCTTTCATATTATTTTTCGTTCTTATGCTAATTTTAATACGTTTACTAAATTCTCTAATATTCATGACATAATTAGGAATACATCCTATGACTGCTAGATTTGTGCTAAGATCTACTTTTGCCTTAGCTTTAGCTACTTGCCGATGGTTATCCCATCTATTATCATATATGTATACTAATGCTTTAGTTCCTACTTATGCTCTTGTGAGTCCAGCTATTCCTATTATAATTGTTCCTATATATGAATTGTTTATAGTGTAACTTTTAAGATGCTCTATTGCTGTGTTACTAAGTAAATAAGAGTTACTTCTTTATCTATACAGCTTACTTCATTGACTAATGCTACTTATAATGCTATGTTTATTTTCAAATCTTCCTAATTGATATAAATTATACTTATTTTTCTAGGATTTTTCGAAACATTTTCTAAAAAATTCTTGTGTTTCTTGGTCACATATATCTCTGTTCTAATTATTTCTTTTCCTTTTCTCCTAAAAAGTTCCATTTACTATTATCATCAAATGGATTTATTCTGCTTTTCTTTCATGAAATTATTTCCTAAGGTTAAATTTTCTAATTTATCAATTAATTATTTGGGTAGTGTGGAAGTAGTATTGTGCACCGTAGTCTGAAATATAGATAATATCGAGAATATTATCTTTTTTTGGGTCACGGATATTTCAGAACTTATCCATACACATATCGTATAAATATCAATAATATCGGAAAATATTGATTTCAATAATTTCGTTCACACTTCATCAATATTTGTCAAAATATCGCTATAATATAGAAAATATTGATGTAATGGAAAAAAGAAAAAGAAAAACGCAAAGCACACACACAAAGGGGATTCGAACCCCTACCATTTCACTCCTCCAATGCCTTAACTACCATGTTGCTTATGTTTTTATGATAATATGCTAAAATATGTATATTTATATTGTTTGTTTTGTTTTGAATATATATATATATATATATATATATATATTTTTGGAAGAATCATATTTTCACATGAGAATGTGAGTATTTGACCTTTCCTTTTCAAGTTTCAACTTTCGAACTACTCATCACGTTTCAACTTTCATCACTTACCCTACCATTCAACCACTCACCTAACTAATTAGTTGTAGTCCTATTTCTATATATACAAAATAAAATCAAACGGTCTCATGCCGTCCCCTATTTCTCAACATCTTATTCCAAAACAAAACATAATGCTCATGTCATTTTCAACATCTATCACCCTCAATTTCCCCACAAGTAAAAAAAAAACTGAACTATAGTAAGTTATTCTCATTAATTATAGTTATTTAATTTGCATGTTTATTATTCTCTATTCCAAATGTTTGATGGTATTATATTTTAAATTGTGTCCATTGATTACTTAGTCAATGGCATGTGGTTTTTTAATTTTTCTATTCTTTATTTGATCACTTATATCTGTGTTTATTGTCTCTTAATTTGTTATTAAAGACTTTATATACTTCCATCACATTTGTTACATTTTTTTAATTATTTTTTTAATTGTTGGTCCATGCATATTCTATTTGGACCTTACACAAAGGGTTCCATATTTAAGGTAATTCACAAACTTATATTTATATTATTGTAATTTATACAAAAATATTTTTTGTGTGGACCGTGCATGTGATGTGAGAACCAAATAATACTTGTATGTTAATTCTTTGAAGTAATTGAGTAATGTTGTATAATTATTCCATATGATAATTTTAATATGTTAATATAATTTATTATTTTATTATCGAATGAATTATTATTCCATATTATTTTCGTAATTATTGAAATTCCCACAATTAATTACTTCCTATTTAATTCTTCCGTATAATAACTTTATATTTAGGTTTTCTTAGATAACCGTATACTACTATATTTTTTGGCCAAAAAATAATTACCTAATTTTTCCATGAAAAATAAATGTAGGAACGTTTAAGATGTCTAGTGGAGTTAATAAACGTGATCCAGCTTGGGAACATGGAGACCCAATAGACGAAAACAAATATGGCACAGTTTTCCTTTCTTTATCGTTCAAATCTTTGCATACACGAATTGTTATAGTCTAAATAACAATTTTACCTTATAATGCCATCTAAATTAATAGAATTGGAATCCCTCCATTCAAATGGAGTCTAAGATTACTTATATTTAGGGAGTAGCTCTGGCAATATCAAAATGCTTTCAAATAACCAAAAAGTTTCATTTTGTTATATGGTTAATTTGGCAGTACACAAGATTTTTTATTTATTTTTAAAAGAGTACTTCTTGGACTCTAAAGTCTAAACGATTGAATATTTCAAATCACTTTGATATAGACATTGAAATGATTAAGAGCACAACGCCTTATTTGAATATCTGAATCCTAGAAATACCAGATTCAGACGTAAGTGAATGGTCAGAGGTTTGAGTACAATTGTCAGCAGCAACGTGATAATGTTTTGTTCTATCCTATTATCCAATGTATTATATTAATATTTTTATTTTCGCGTTTGATTTCCACAAGTTAATACGATGAATATTCCCGATTACTTTCTTGTTAATTCTAACTTTGGCTTGAGAAGAGTAAGTAGGTTCCTTGAAAAACAGATAGGCATATGATTTTTCTTGGTTTGAACTTTTACCAACATAGATAAGACTTTTCAAAGTCATCAACAAATTAAATGGAAAACAAACCGAAGATGATATCAAACTCTATTTGGTACAGTGGTACATACCTGTCCTTCTTAGGTAAAGTCGTCAACGATTTATGTTAAAGTTTAGAAGGAGAGACCCTTCTTGGGAATTACAAGTTTGTTTTTCTGGTTTAGCAGGTGTGGAGTTTTATCATAAAAAGCCTCGGTGTCATTAATAGTGGAACCACTTATTATATGGTGTATTTGATTTGGTCAAATTTCTGATGTGGGATTTCAATATTCTTCAACAATTTAAACAACGGATAATGTTAAACCATATTTTGTAGCTGGGAAGTACATATAATGGTGCAAGAATTATGGTTGATATGGTGCTATAATTTTTTCACGGTTAATTAATTTCTACAAAATTCCTTGACGTCCATGGATCAATATAAATTCTCAATTTTGAATTTGTCAAGGCTGACTGGTAACGTATTAAATTTTTCCTCTTTCTGTTGATATATAAGGCTCTATATGCATGTTAAATTAAGAGAGCTAGGAAAGGAAATAAGAAACTAATTAACATGGCTAAGGCACAAAGCTCCTCCTACTTTGTGATCTTGGCACTTTCTATAGCTGTGAATCTGTTATTGGTTTTCCAATTCTGTGTGGATGGAGAGTGGAGACTCACTTGGAGTAAAGGAGCAGCAGAGGAAGCTGAGCGTGTGGCAGCAATTTCTTGCTCAGGGTCATGGAAGAGCCTATTTGGATGGGTTGGTTCTTGATGGGAAGGAACCAGTTTTGTGAGTGTAATTCTTGCTATGAAGGCCCAGATTGCTCTGAGTTGTAACTGGATGTGCAGCAAATGCTGACAGGTTTCCCCCTATCCGTCGCTATCATGCCCGAAAGATTTTTATGACACATATATTCATGTTGCTTTTTTTGGCAGTGGAGACCCTATTTCTTGGAGCCATTTGGATGCAACATGCAGCCCAAAGTGCACTTTTAGTAGCAGGGTGGCATCGGATGGGATATAGCTTCCCTGATGGCTCTTACATCTCAGCAGAGCTAGAGGGGCACATCCGTGAATTGCATTCCACTGTGGGAAATGCAGTAACTCAAGGAAGATACATTGTGTTTGGTGCTGGCTCAACCCAACTTCTCAATGCTGCAGTTCATGCATTGTCTTCTGATAATTCTTCCAACTCCTCCTCACCTGCAAGTGTTGTAGCTTCAGTTCCTTATTACAGGGTTCGATCTCTTATTACTTCTGAATTTGGCTTTACAATTCCTTGCAGCTTATAATCAGTTAGTGCCTACAAATAGTTCTGCTAATTGCTTAGAATCCCATATGCATGATTAACTTTTCTAACAAAATTTAATTTTGATGTCCAAAATTCACAGCTTTACAAAACGCAAACGGAATTTTTTCGATCATTGGACTACAGGTTTGAAGGAGACACATCCTCATTTCTTAACAGTTCAGAAGCTGGCAAAGTTATTGAGTTTGTAACCTCACCAAACAATCCTGATGGAAAGCTGAATACGGCAGTTCTTCACGGCCCCAACGCCTCTGCAATTTATGATCGGGTCTATTACTGGCCACACTTTACAGCAATTCCGAATCCAGCTGATGATGATCTTATGCTATTTTCACTTTCCAAACTCACTGGTCATGCTGGTTCTAGATTCGGGTACGTAACAACCACACATTATTGCACTTCTCTGGACTTTTCCAATTGGATATTTTTTTATGGCGGCCGGCCGGTTTTCTTTCATGTTGATGTCACACATTATGTAATATTGTGCGTAATACATGATGTTACCTCACCAAGGGTGTGAAGAAAAGCGCCAAACCTGTTTCAACTAACCAAAGTAAACAAATCAGAGTAGTTAATTTGTGACCCAATCGAACTAAACCGTCTAATATTAATTTTATTATCTTTTTGACAATCTTGAAACTTTTGTGTTTGTTATCGCCATATACTATATATAATCTTTCATCCATACATAGTTGATATCAACCATTTAATAATACAATAAATTAAAATGCTTAGCCGATTTAAATTTTGTCACTCACTCTGAGATCATGTAAAAAGTCGAGGTTCCACGCCCCAAAACCAATTGGCAATTCAAGGAGTTGCAAAACTCCTTATAAGTCTATATGCTTAGTTTCTTAACTGGCAAGTAGATATCATCCCCCTTCACTAACTACTATTCTTGGGGCCTTGTGCAGATGGGCAGTGATAAAGAACGAGTCTGTGTACCAAAAAATGACGGAGTATATGAGTTCAAGTAGCATGGGTGTTTCTCGAGATGCTCAGCTAAGAGCTTTGAAGCTTATCAATGTGGTGCTTGAAACTAGAGGCAAGCAAATCTTTGAATTTGGATACCACACCATGAGGAACCGCTGGAAAAGCTTGAGCAAAATCTTGTCTTTGTCAAGCCGCTTTTCTCTGCAGAAACTTGGACCCCGATACTGCACTTATTTTCAGAAAATTAGAGGACCCTCACCAGGTAATGTCTCCACTAATTCAAGAATATTTCCTTGTCAATAATTGAGTACAAAATGTCGATTATACCCCCTTTGAGTTAGATAAGTTTAATAATGATTTTTTTTTCATATAAAAACAAAAGTAGTTTAATAATTCAATCCACTGTTCACATATATTTTCTTTGTCACCATCAACCTTTTCTTTGTCACCATCTGCCTTTTCTCCTTATGCAATTTCTTCCAAGTGGAACTTTGACCGCATGCTTAAGCAAAAAAAATGAAAAACAAAACGTCACTTTCATGCCATGCATGATTACGCATGTGGAATATTATGTACATTAGTTCAATAATTCAATTCACTATTCACACACATTGTTTCTGTCCCACAAGCTATATTTTCTATTTATGCAATTTCTTCCATGTGTAACTTTCATCTCATGCCTAAGCCAAAAAAGGAAGAAAAAAAAACATTACTTTCAAGTTTCATCACACACGCATTGCATTTGTAGGGAAGTAATTTTTACACTCTCATTTTTTTCCCTTACATTCTTTAATTGTTCTTATGTTTTGGTTCTCATTTTGTTCACCCAATTACTATCAGAAAAACTTGTATGAAAATGGGGATAACACTGTTTTGTTATCTTCGGCCAATCACAGTCTGTCACGTGAAAAATTTATCACGCATGACATACCGTGATTGACTGGAAATAACAAAATAGTGCTATCTATGTTTCATGTAAGTGTTTCTCCATTACTACAATACTAAAATAAGAGGGGGAAAGCAAATGGACAAAGTAGGAGTGTTAACGATGTCACCCTTAACTCAATAGACTAAGTCGAGAAAGTGCCATACATTGGTTATGGGAAATAAAAACCCCAAAATGCAGCCCAAATTTCTTCTCATAATAAATGTTATTATATTATATTTTCGAAGTGCGAACCTTCCGTGCCCTAGCTAATTTGCACCAATTTTAATCTCATGGCAGCATATGCGTGGGTGAAGTGTGAGAGGGAAGAGGACACAGATTGCTATGAAGTCCTCCAAGCAGCCAATATTACTGGGCGTAGCGGAAGCCAATTTTCAGCTGAAGACCGTTATGTACGTCTGAGCCTCATAAGGAGCCAAGATGACTTTGATATATTGATTCAGCGACTAACCCAGTTGGTCTCAGAAGAAAGACAGCAGCAAAACCATGCAAACAATTTCTTGAAGCTCAAGAAGCCTCTGATGAGCACCTTAAGAAGGGGTCTTGTCTATTAGTAATTATCACCTTCACAGTCTATCAAATGAATAAGAAAATTCCACAAATTCCACCACATATGTACATATTATTAAATTGAATAATTATCAACTTTACGTACACTCGTCGTTAGTTTTTTTTCTTTTTAACATTCTATAAAACTTGAATAAATTGTGGAGTTCATATGTTATTTGGTATTTGTAGTATAAGTGATTGTGGTTCTGAGATGCATGATGAATACTTCATCCTGTGGAAGGTGTTTGAGCAAATTTCCACATGGGAAATATTCGCAAGTTGATTCTTCACTATTCGAACTTCCTTCTTGAAATTGGTACTTAGGTGACGAGGGGTAAATTTAACGACACTTAAACAAAACGCAACAAACTTCACACACTCTAGACCTTGACCAAATACTCTTATGACTAGTCAACTGTCAGATATGAATTATACCAAACAATAACATACACAGAGCATACCAAGATGTACCTGCAAGCCTAGAGAATTACTAGTGACAACCTAGGCACTCAGAAAGGACCCGTCAATCTAGGCATCCCCTGTGCTAGCAACAACTATGGTGAAAGTGTGTGAAATCATCATAATCAAGTAAACACCAAACAACAGATAATGATGACTAGTCAACTACAAGGACACAAACCCAGAATTCATACGATGACTAGTCAACCACCAAGAACACAAACACAGAATTCATACGATGACTAGTCAACCACCAAGAACACAGACCCAGAAAAATTACAGAGATGCAATTAGAAAAGAAACCCATCATTGGGAAAAACTGGGGGTTATCAACCGACCAGGCAATCCACTAAGTAGAAAAAGATTCTTACAAAGAAACACAAGCAAGCTCAAGAAAAATCTAGATCTATTTAGGAAGATGAGCTATACCTCATTTGTGCAATCTTCTTCGCTAACTTAGCAAAGCTTGAAGCTCAGTTCTTCATGGCAATGGTAGCTCTTTCTCCAGCTCATTCATCCCATGGCACTAGCTTGCAAGCTCTAACTCAGATAGAAACCAAAATTTGGATTCAAAGGAGAATGACCAAGTTCTTCAAGAAACCATACTCTTGAAGAAATCAATCTTGAATTTGACCTAGATATATATATGAGAGAGTGTTTGATCTAGCAAGATGAGGTTTTCATATTTAAAATACAGTTTTCAAAAAGAAACATTTTGGAAAACTCAAAGATGAAAAATATGAAGGTTACACTTGAGGAAGAAGAGAAAGTGTACAAAGAAACATTCCAAAACTTGCCTACAAAAGTGACGACTGTCAAATTAGGAATCCTTTGACCTTTACACCCAAAAATTCCCTAGGCCTGAATCAACACATAGTAGCAGAGAGAGAAAGAAGAATATGACAAAATAGTTGGTTATCCAGCTTGAAATCCTACAACTAGTCATCATTTTATGAAATCAATTTAATGCAATGTGATATAATGCACAATTTACCTTTGTCAATTTGCTTGAACCTCCATAGGATAGTTGTTAGTTAAGAACACCTAGAGAATCTATTCTTAATCTAAACTTGAGCTTGATAAAAACAATACAAATCCTATTACAAAATTGTCAAGGGAAGCCAAAAGAAAAACTCAAAATGCATACATTAACACTTCTCTCTCTCTCTCTCTCTCATCTTCCTCGATCTCTGTGAAAAAATCAGAGTAAATAGATCACACCCAAGGAGTTTTGTCTATTAATAATTATCACCTTTACATAATTGTGGTTCTGAGTTCCATCATGAATACTTTAATAAACATATTTGTCCAAACTACTATCCTTTGATTAAAGAATGCAAAATACATACGAAAAAGAAGGAAGTAAATGGAAATTCAATTCACAATCTTGTCTATTTTGCTCTGTGGGAAGCATGAAGCTTCTCTTATTCGTGTTCTTTTCGTCAAACAATGTCATTTTTAGGAATATTTTTTTATATGTATGTAAATATGTAAGGTTAAATTGTATGTTTTGTAAGACGTTTAATCAAAATTTAAGAGTGCTACTACCTCTAATACCATGTGGTATTTGAGAATTTTATGATGATATGTATTATTCGCCTTTGGAGGTAAACATCTAAGATTTATATCCGACTCATATAGACCTTTCTTCCTTAGGAAAATTGCTTCTTCTTCGAGTAATGAAATTTCAATTATTGAAAAAAGATATCACATGTTGGTTTTTGCAAGGCATTGCAAACATGTTTGAGTTGAAATTAGTTCAACATTAGAAAACTAGAGTTACTTGAAGGTCTTTATAAGACTTACTCTTGGAAATAGAATAGTTAGGATTGAGTTATGCAAGTGGCCCAATTGAGTGGCTTGTGGGTTCGCCAGCATAACTACAAGCACTATATGTAGGGGCAAAATTCTGTTTCAAGGACATTGCAATATGCAAGCCTCTATTTGAAAACGAATCAATTTTTATTTTACTATCTTATTTAATTTCGTAATTTTATTTACTGTTAGATTTAATTATTAAATTAAATAATTAGTGTAATACTGATTGTTGATTTCCCAACATCACATTGTTTCAATATGATTAGAAACTTAGCCAACTACAACTATTGCATGTACTTGGGAACTGAATAATTTATGCTATTGTATTCTAAGTGGTAGAACAACTAAAGTAAGTACGAAAGCATGTGTTCAAAAAATGAAAGCTTATCATTAAATTGAGACACATGCTATCTTTTAATTGGAATGTTTCGTGACTTAACATCATATGGTAAGAACACCTCACACAAGTTTTTCTCCTATATCTCACGTAAAGTTCTCTTCTTTTAAACCAAATTCCTAGAGCATACTAAATTATTCTGCCAGATATTAGATAGTGAAAAGATGTATGTACATAGTAATTAATTTGTGGCTCTAGAGTTGTGGTCGATCCTAGTATATCACAAGTAAATGTCCTTGTCCTTGACAGAGATGGTGGGCCTCTTTATGTCTAAATGTTCATGCAGGCATTGCCTCCCAGCTCCTTAAATTTGTGTTTGTTATCCTTTTCCTCTTGCATACGGTTCTATATGTGCAAGAATAATACAAGAGCCTGACAGAGGAAACTGAACAAATATGGCTAAGTTACAAAGCTCTTACTTTGTGTGCTTTGCATTTTCTATATTTGTTAATCTGTTTTTCGTCTTGAAACTCTATGTGGGTGGAGAATGGGAGCTGAGTTGGAGCAGAAGAGCAGCAGAAGAAGCTGAGCACGTGGCAGCCATCTCTTGCTCAGGGCATGGAAGAGCCTACTTGGATGGGCTAGTTCTTGACGGGAAGGAACCTGTTTGTGAAAGCAATTCTTGCTATGGAGGCCCTGAATGCTCTGAGTTCTTAACTGCTTGTGCAGCAAATGCTGATAAGTACTCTCTCTCTCTCTCTCTCTCTCTCTCTTGAAAAAGCTTGCACACTGGAAAATGATAGTTAGCTTTGGATTGAATTAGAAGGGGCTGGCTTTTTAGATCTGTGATTTATATTTCTTTTGACACATCCAAAGACCCAAAAGTCAAAAAATCCTCTCTGCGATAAACCCCGGTCGCTTTATTCCAGGGAGCAAATTTGAAGCCTCTGTTAGTATCCGATCAGTCGCCTGCTTTTATTTTGAAAAACCTCCAACATTAATCATGCCAAGACTTCCAATCCATATCACCAATTAATAGAAAGGGAAAAACAGAAAGCCAACAAGAGGGAATTTGAATTTTTTTTAAAAATAAAATTTGTTTTACGTACATTCTAGGGACTTTGGTTTCTCACATGTGAAAGGGACTGTATCTACTATATAAATGTGAATGTCATGGTCCAACATAGATCCAACAAAATGAAAGGCAAGGGAGATTTTTCTTTTGGAAACATATATATCAAGTTTTCCAAATGCTGCTGTTAATGTATATATAATGATGACAAGGCTGGCAGTGGCCTCGCCCATATCACATTTTCCGGCTTGGTTTAGTCCGGTTCACCGATTTAATAGCGGTCCAAATGCCTACTCTTGTAAATTACATTGTCTCATGCATATATGATATATATATTTGCTTGCAGTGGGGACCCACTTTTCTTGGAGCCATTTTGGATGCAACATGCAGCTAAAAGTGCAGTTGTAGTAGCTGGCTGGCATCGAATGAGCTATACCTTTTCTGATCAGTCTTACATCTCAGCAGAGCTTGAGAGGCACATTCGCCAACTTCATGCCATCGTTGGAAATGCAGTGACTCAAGGAAGATACATTATTTTTGGTGCTGGCTCAACCCAACTTCTCAATGCTGCAGTTCATGCACTCTCTTCCCATAATTCAAGCTCCTCCTCCTCGCCTGCAAGTGTTGTAGCCTCAATTCCTTATTATAATGTGGGATCCTATAGCTTACTGCGTATTTATTTTAAGTGCAAAGCATAAATAAACTTGTATCATCTCTATATTGGTATATATATATAATATTAACATGTGTGAATGTGTGGACCTACTTATGTGGGTCACATTCGTTTACATAAAATCATCAATTGAAATGGTACAAATAGTAGTACTATTTTATGCTTACAAATTTTCCGACTGATATATGTGATTTTGATGTTGGATTTTTGCAGCTTTACCAATTGCAAACAGAGCTTTTTCAATCAACGAACTATGTGTTTCAAGGAGATGCATCCTTGTTGCAGAACATCTCAGATGATACTACTATTTTTATTGAGTTTGTTACCTCTCCAAACAATCCTGATGGGCATCTGAATAAAGCAAATTTTCAAGGTCCGAATGCCAAAGCAATCTATGATCGTGTGTATTACTGGCCACATTTTACAGCAATTCCTGCTCCAGCGGATGATGAACTCATGATATTTTCAATTTCTAAGTTCACTGGCCATGCCGGCAGTAGATTCGGGTAACAACCTAACTATCATTTTCCTTTCTTGCAAACCTTTGTTTTTTTGTTTAAAAAAAATAAAGTTTTACGAATCCTTTAAAGTTAAAAACAAGGAAAAATTATTTACAGTTGAAACCAAGAAAAATCCTCTTTGGTAG